CATGATTATCTGTCTGTTATATATCAATATATTGTTATGGGTTGAGGTTGTACTACTTTGTGCTATAGCCAACAAACCCGGTAGCATTCTAGATATGAGTTGAGGGCGATTGGCATGCTAGACTCATACTGAGGGCTTGGGAGCATTCCATATACGAGTTGAGGGCTGGTTGGCATGACATAATCATACTGAGGGCTTGAGGGTATTCTAATCCGAAGACTGAGTGGAACCATTAACTGTATATTGACATTCCAACCTGGGGTATTCCATCCTGAGGATGACTAGACCCGGAGGTTGATTGGGTCTGGGGTATTCCAACCCGATGGTTGATTGGACCCGCCATGCTATTGTATATGTTATCTGTTTATGTGTTGGTACTTTGGGGGAGCTCACTAAGCTTTGACTTACGGTTTTTAGTCATTGGTTCAGGTAATTCTGATGATTACGGGAAGGCGAATACGTGACCGTACATATCCTCTATTTTATGTACTTTTGGATCCATGGGATACTCTGAATCGGAACAACACTTTGAAAAGAATGATTTAGTAAACATTTTATGATTTGGGGTTGTTTTAAAAATTTAAATTTGTTGTGATTTTTATGGATGTTACAATACTTTCAAAAAATGAAATCAAGACTTCCTAGTAACATCAAATGTGTAAGACATGGTCAAAGAAGCAACCAAGCCATGCTTCCACCAAGCATGGCCGGTTCTAGAGAGAGGATAGAGTGGACTGTTAAACACTCCATTCTTTTATTTAAATAGTGGACTTATATAGTTTCAAAATAATGTACACAATCTTTTAATCATACTATAAGATTATATAACTAGTTATACTCTCTAGTTTTATTATTTTCATAAAACAATAATTCTCCTATTAAATACAAGTGTTGATGATATCTATTAGTAATCAAATTCTAATAAATACTCAATAAGTGACAACTTGCTATAAGGCGTGACCCTGTATGATCTTATGTCATTAGCAAATAATTCTATAGTTTTTTTTGTCATATAGATCCAGGGCGGAACACAAGCACTACAACGGGGGAGGGGGGGGGGGGGGAGGGGCGGCAAAATCAAAACTTCACAATTAAACTATATAAGCAAGTTTTATTTGGTTCAAAATTATGATATATCAGAATTGTAAACAAGAAAACTAATAAAGACTATTACATCGTTTATCAAAGTGGAACACGACGATCTTTTGCTTTTTTAAAGTCTTCTACAACTGTCTCTAAACTAATATTTTCAGCAAGTTCCCTTTCGAAGTGCAAAACCAATGAGTCATTCAAAAACTCATCTTCCATTTTATTTCATAACCTTGTTTTAATGAGGTTCATTGCTGAAAATGATCTCTCTGTTCCCTTTTGAGACGGAAAACAAAACGCAACATCTAAGCTCTCTGAATATTCAAGCCAGTGATATAACTTAAACCAAGAAGCTTGAAAACTACGTTTATGAGTTTCTGGTCCCGATTTTGGATATACGAGAAAGTGTTTGTTGAAAGGGACCATGATTAATATATGCTCGCCTAATCGTATCTCCTTCATTAACCGGATAATCATAAATTTGCGTACGCAAAACCAGGATCTCGTTCTAGTGTATTAAGATCGATTCCATTAATTTCAAGATGATGTTTTTTGAAACGGTTATCAGTATTAGCAACATTGGGCATGGGGGTATATTCATCCAAAACCATCTTCAGTGGCTTTTCGGAATCTTGAGTAGAACTTGTGTGTTTTCTTTTAAAAAACCCATCAATAGTTGATTGTTTTTTCATGTTGATATACGAGTATACGACACAACCAACATTACTAACAATCAGCAAATATCAATATAAAATAGCAGTAAACAAATGAAGTTTTTTAGTCTAAAAAGATAATATAAACATTCAAATAAATTAATAATTCCATTTAGAATGAATAATAAATTAACAAATATATATATATATATATATATATATATATATATACAGGGTTAAGTTCAAATGAGAACAGTATTTAATGTGAGAACACTACTTTATCTTACTATTCTACTATGAATTTTGTATATACAACGATATGACATTATTCATCAACAAATATACGAACAATCACATATTAATATTCACATTAAAATTTTGTATGTACAACTTTATGACATTATTCATCACCGAATATATGAACAATCATATATTTAAAATTCACATTAGAATTTATTAAATTACTACTCATATATATTAATTTTATAGTAGAATAGCAATATAAAATTGAATATATTCATATTATAATTACTACAAGACTATACATATTAAATTCATAGTAGAATAGTAACATAAAGTAGTGTTCTCACGTTCTCACATTAAATAGTGTTCTCATTTGAACTTAACCCTATATATATATATATATATATATATATATATATATATATATATATATATATATATATATATATATATATATATATGAAAATCTTCGAATAAGTTCTAATAGATCACCCTAGTTTATGAAAAAGTCCCGATAACCGGAAAACATGACGATTTGACCTTTTTTTTTTTTTTTTTTCCGATTTACCGGTTCCAATATTTACCCAGTTTCATTAAAGTTTCATTATTTACCATAATTTTCATTAAAATCCCATTAGTTTACCATAATTTGGGACTTATTCGTAAATTGTGGTAAAATAATGAATACGGTAAATCGGGAAAATATGGCCAAGTCGTCATTTTTACCGGTAATTGAGATTTTTTCGTAAACAAATTTTAGATTGGGATTTTTTTTGTAAATTAGGGTAAAATATTGGGACTTTTCTGGAGGTCACGTCTCAACGATCAACAATCTAGACTCCAACGACTAGCAAAGAGAAGGCTCCGGCGACCGGCAAAGAGGAGAGAGATCGTACGGTACGAATGCACTCGAATGCATTGAACAATCCGGCGACCAGAAAAAGGCACACGATAACAACGATCTTAATGGGTGGCGTTATTCCGGTGAGTTTCAAGAAATACTTTTCCGGCGGCCGGGATAAACTTACGATTTTAGGCTTACACTTTTCAGTTTCTTAAGCTTAAACTTGGGTTAAATTGCTGAAATGTTGATTAGATTGTGGGTTTTTATAGATTTTAATAGATATTAAGTTTCCTTATTTTAAAGAATCATAAAGAAACAAGGTTCAAGCAATGTTCTAAAAACCGGGTTTTTAGTTAAACCAGTATCGTGACCGGTTTCCGGTTCAATCGGTTCGACCGCCGGGTCAATCAGTTTCTATAATTTTCATCGTTTTTTTTTCCAATTTTCCTACACACACACAGACACACACACACACACACACACATATATATATATATATATATATATATATATATCATGAATTTGATGTTTACTAGTTCAAACATTAAAAATATACATAAAAATAAGTTGTAGATCAATCCAAATACATTAAAATAACACATAACCATAAGTTTTAGTGTTTTACATCAATCTATATAGATCAAAAAGAAAATAAATATAATACCGAAACAAAATATATTTTTAGATAAATAAAAACACGTCAAAAACATTATAACATTTACCATATGTTTTTATTTAGAGAAAACTAAATAAATTTGAAAAAAATCACAAAAGTTTATTATGAAAATGGTTCTTTTCCATTTGTTTTTATTCGGTTTAACCGGTTCAACCGGGTTTTTCTAAAAACTGGCCGGTTCAATCCAGTTCAGAAATCGAAATAAAACCGGTGGGTGATAGTTGAACCGCTCTTTTCCCCAGTTTCCGGTCCAACCGGTTCGACCGGCCGGTTCAAACCAGTTTTTAAAACATTGGGTTCAAGGTCGGTTTTGATCTTTTAAAGATATTCGAAAATTTTGTAACCGGTTTATGTTCATGATATGGAATGGGAGGGGGGTGGGGGCAAGGATGTCATTCACAAACAAGCTTTTGATCTCGTTTGAAAATAGAGAGAGGGGGTAGGGGGGACTACGATAAGACTATCCGGTGTCACTACGCGTGAGTTTAATTCCACATCATCATCATCTTCTTTCACAACCAACCTACTATGCATGTGGGGTGGTGTTCACTAGTAACCTACTAGTGAAGAAGAGAGATAGAGAGAGAAACGGAAGAGAGAGAAAGACACAAACAAATCTTCCACCAATAGGAGCCTTCGTCTTCTTCCGTAGCTGGTACTACGCCACAAGACACCCACTCATCTTTGGGTGGTGTTCCCGCGTAGCCTACCATGCCACATCAGCATCACACTTGGGGTTGATGCCTCCATACCACCCAGCCTAATGCGTCTTTGCAGATCCGATAGAAGTGGTGGAGCTTAGGTGGTATCCGACAAAAAAAACAAACTCCCCACTATCACCTCCTACCCTACTGGATTGTCTCAAATTTGCGAATTCAAAGCAATTTGTATCAAGTTCGAGGTGGTTTCCTCCGTTCAATGATTTTCATCATGAATTTAGGGGAGTGGCGAAGATGTGGAGGTGGTGGTATAGATGAGAGAAGGAAAATTGTAAATAGCGAAACACATATTCTTTCAAAGAGGGCGGTTAGCGGCCACAACTTATTTAAAATAGTTTTAATAATTAAAAATAATAAGAAATCTTACAAATAAATTGAAAAAAAAAAAAAAAAACAGGAAAGAACCATATAATAATTTAATAAGGACGAACCATGCAATTTTTAATAATATTATATGAGATGACCGAGTTAAATTTTAAAATAAGAACTAAACCAACAATTTGAAAGTTGATGGTGATTTTCTCTATTTCCTACAACATACACATGATAGCTCAAGGAATCTTCTTTGCATTTTCTAAAAGCCAATTAGAATTTATTCTAGTGGAGACCAAGTCAGATAGATAAGACAATACACATTGACTTGCCAAACGTTGACTCTGCTACCAAACAGGATAAATCCATGATCTCTCTTGAGCTATAAGATCTAAGACAACAAAAACCAGAAGCAAAGAAACTTATACTCCCAGCTCATATACACTCCCGTAATCTCAACTTCCATGGCCATCCTGACTGAACTACAAGAAGAAGAAGCAGCAGCAGCATCATCAAGAAGGTATCACGTTTTCTTGAGTTTTAGAGGGAAGGACACTCGTCTGGGGTTTACAGATTACCTCTACGAAGCTTTAGTGAATGAAAACATCTCTACCTTTCGGGATGAGGAAGAGGCTGAAATTGGGGAAGAACTAAAACCCGAGCTTGCAAGAGCTATAAAAAGCTCTCGTGCTTCAATAATTGTCTTGTCTAAGAACTACGCATCATCAACATGGTGTCTGGATGAACTCGTGATGATCCTTGAGCAGCGAAAGGCCTCCAACCATATTGTCATCCCTGTTTTTTACGACATTGAGCCGACCCATGTCAGAAAGCAAGAAGCCACCATTGGAGAAGCGTTATCTGAACACAAACAGAGAATTGCAGCTGAAAAAGATGAGGAGAAGAAAATTCAAGGTGCTCGTAACTTGGAGATGTGGACCAAAGGACTAACGGAAGTTGCTGGTTTGATAGGAAAGGATGCCAATGGCCGGTATACTCCCATTCTATGCATTTCCGCATAATTCTTGTCATTTTTGTATCATTGTGAACGAATATTATAGATCTGTTAAGGTTAATATTAACAAACAAATAAAATATGTGAAAAAATAACAAACACACAGAATTTAAGTGGTTCGCAAGATCAGGTCGTTTCTTATTTACTAATTAATAGTGACAGTAGGATTTACAATAATAGTCTAGGTATATATATAGGGCCTTAAAAAGTCAAAGTATTTCCCAGGAAAGATCCCTTGTGAACTCAGATTCCACAACGTCTAGATGATAATGGAACCCTATGTATAGTAGAGTATAAGCAGTATAGATCATATGGCTCAGTGACTCAAATAAAAATGGTAACAAAAGATACCAGTCAATTAACTAATTATTGATGACTTTTATTTATTGGATTTCCATTGGTAGTGTCTTTCTTGTTCATCTAATTTGATTAAAATTTCAGACGAGAGAAGGTGGTTATTGAAGAGTTGGTTAAGGAAATTAGTAGCAGACTGGAACTACACTTGGAGTGTCCTATCCCACACTTAATTGGGATGGACATTTCTATTGATACCATCAGTTCCTGGTTGGCAGGAGGATCATCAGAAAATGCCGAAGTTCTCACAATTTCAGGAATTGGGGGGATCGGGAAGACATCTTTGGCAAAATATATCTATAGGTTGCACTACCATGAATTTGAAAGAAGTAGCTTTGTTGAAGACATTGAAAGAAGGTGTGCAGGACAAACACGTGCGCTACTTGATTTGCAAAAACAGCTTCTTGGAGACGTTCTTGGTAAAAGAATGATTGAAGAACATGATGTAGATGTGCTCACATATAAGATTGAGAAAGCATTACTTAATAAACAAATGCTTTTGGTTCTTGATGGTGTTGATAACTTTGAGCAAGTGGATGTGCTGATTGGAACAAATGGTTTTCTTCATCCAAGAAGCACGATTATTATAACAACCAAAGATGGGTCCTTAACAGAAAAATGTGCTTTGTTTCGAATGAGGGTTCCTCCCAAACATGAAAAGCATGCACTTCATGGTTTAAGTGATACTGAATCTCTAAGTCTTTTATGTTGGCATGCGTTTGGAGGTTATGATCCTAAGGAAGGTTATGAAAAAGAGGCAATAAGAGCTTCAAAGTATTGTGGAGGACATCCATTGGCTCTTAAACTTTTGGGAAGTTCTCTAAACAACGAAGATGTAGACACATGGAGGGATACGTTTGAAATGCTAGAGACAAGAGAATTCCATACTCATGTACATGTACAAAAGGTCCTGCAGATTAGCTTTGATTCTTTGCCATCTGACAATTGCAAAGAATTGTTTAAGCATATTGCATGTTTTTTTGTTGGAAGTGATAAAGAAATGATTGAAGCAATATTAAAGGAATGTGGTATTCGTACATCATATGGAATCACAAAGCTCATAGATAGATGTCTTCTCACAATTGGTCCACGTAATGAGTTGAGGATGCATCAATTGCTTCAAGAGATGGGGAGAGATTTGGTTCGTCGGGAATCACCTGAGAAGCCATGGAAGTGCAGTCGTGTATGGAATCATGAGGAGTCCCTTTATATCTTGAAAGAAGACAAGGTAATTTTATATCATACACTTCATATGCACTTTATTATTTTTTTTCAACTATTATTCATTACATTCATGACTAGGGTACAACAAAAATCCAAGGTCTTGTCCTTGACATGAAAATGTTGGAGAAAGAGCCGTTAGGTGGATCAGGCAGTAATGTTGCAGATAGTGAACTTCAAATTAATGATCCGAACATGATTTTTGGAATAGGTCCATCAACCCATAGCATTCTCAAATTCTCTTCTCGTTGCAAGAAAACTGAACTGAAAACAGATGCATTAAAAAAGATGGATAAACTAAGTCTACTCCAACTCAATCATGTAAAATTCAAAGGTTCCTACAAGTATTTTCCAAAAGGTTTAAGAGGGTTGTGTATGCATGGATTCAAATTGAAATACATACCTTCGAGCTTACCAATGGAACATTTGGTTGCTCTTGACATGTCTTACAGTGATTTGACACAGCTTTGGAAGAAGCCAAAGGTATGGGATTCAAAGCTTTTAATTTACCTAACTTTTTTGTTGATTGATATCTTGGTAATAACATCTATTCTTGATCATATGACATCCAATGCAACAGCTTCTTGGGTCATTGAAGATTCTTAATTTGAGTTATTGCAAGCAGCTTGTTAGAGTTGGTGGCTTCTCCGGGCTACCTGCAATCGGAGAGGTTGATACTTAAAAGTTGTGAATGTTTGGTTCATGTGTGTGAATCAATTGGTGGATGTGATAGTCTTCTTCTTCTTGATCTGAGCTATTGCAGTAAGCTTAAAATGCTTCCAAGCAGCATGACCAAGTTGAAGAATGTTCAAATACTATCTTTAGACGGTTGGGCAGCTAGGATTGGCAAACAATCACATGCCTCTTGCTCTTCCTCTTCTGTTGGAGAATTTGTACCGAAATATCCAAATTTATTATTGATTTCCTTGCCATCTTCACTAGTAACCTTGTCCCTTAGAGACAGTAATTTATCTAATGAATCCTTCCCAGCGGACTTCAGCAACATGTCAATGTTGAAGATATTATATTTAGACGAAAATCCAATTGATTCCCTACCTGATTGTGTCAGAAACCTTAGCAGGCTTGAAGGACTCTCTGTTATGAATTGTTCGAAGTTAAAGTCAGTTTTGTGTCCTCCAAATACAGTGAAATGTTTGAGTGCTGACCATTGTGTGTCACTTGTTAAAATAACATTCTCTCAGGAAATCACAGCACCACCATTTGTCCATTACTATTATTCAGTGTCATTGACTGAAGTTCAAGGCATATTCAAAATTCAAGCTATAGAAAAAATTGACGACCAAATATTATGTAGCTTGGGGTGGACACATTTACAACATGTGAAAGATCACAAGGTGCGGATTTGGGATTCTGCCATATGGCCTCGTGTGACGAAACTTCCAGTTCAGGTATTATTCTCTTTCTGCAACTATATCATTTATATTTACTTCACGGTTACACACTAGTTAATATGCCTAAAACTCATGCATATTAAATTTTTATCTGCAGATGTGCTACGAATTTGGAATATTTAGCACATGTTTTCCAGGGAATGTGGTTCCAGATTGGTTAGGTCATAAAAACAATGGTTCATCAATATCATTCACCATGCCATCGTCTTCAACAAATAAAAGGATCGAGGGAATAAATATATGCTTTGTGCATACATTTTCAGGTAGAGGGATGGTTAGTTCTTTAAAAACAAAAGTAAGGAATATAACAAAAGATCTCACATGGATATATTATGGTTATATATTTGTTGTCCGAGAAGCTGATGAAGATTTAGTATGGTTAAGCCATTGGATGTTTGGGAAAAATGAGCTTGAAGATGGCGATGAAGTTAGTGTAACCATTGTAGAGGAAGAGGAAGACGGTGGTATAATGGTAAAAGAGTGTGCAGTCAGTCCTGTGTACAATGATAGAGAGAATGAAGAAGACCCTTTGAGTTATTATAAGTCGTGGAAACATATCATTGGTAGAGATCTGTCTACTTTTCAATTAACGTCAGGAGATTACTTCCTAATCCATGATCGTTTTTTTAATCGTTCCCGAGCATTTAAGGACCTCTTTCAACATAAAACAACCCAGAATCTATTTGGTTATATTCCGCAATATAAAGGTACACCACTAATTCTTAAATATTGTTCTATCTCCATAATTATCAGGCTACCTCAAGTTGAAGCTTGTAGGATTCGAACATGAGACCACTCCATTTTTTATTGTTTAAATCACGACACTTTGATTGTGGTCTATTTCCAGAACTTTTAGGCAAAAAAAATGAGTTTATTGTTCTTTTAACTCTGGATACAGATGAAAATGTGGTTACACATGAAAATGAGGATTGGTACTTGAATGAGTGGAGACAGTCTTTTCTTCAAAGGGTACGAGTGGAGACAATCTTTTCTTCAAAGGGTACCATCATGTCACACCCCGAAAACCGAAGGCGGAAAACATTTCTGGGGTTGACTAGCACGTTGAGTATCAAATCCAATGCACATAGTAAGTAAAGTAAAGCAACCATACATTACATAATAAAGTTTTACAGTTGTTTCAAAAGTAAAGTTTGTACAGTTGTGATACAATATATATATATATATATATATATATATATATATATATATATATATATATATATATATATATATATATATATATAAACAAAAGAAACGGATCTTCATGTACACCGTCTTCAAGAAAAAAGGATCTTTCAGTACCTGTTCTAACGCTGACCTGAGAACACAAGCGGTTTAATATCAGCATAAAGCTGGTCAGTTCATAAGCGGTTTTTGTTTGTGAAAATGTTTCGAGTTTCCTTTCTGTTTCTGAAATGTTATATGCACCAAGAAAATCCCATATTTTCTTAATAATTGGTTATTGTTTCACAAATGTAAAGTATAGTAAGTTTGTACACTGAAAACATGTTTATTCATGTGAAAATGTATAGTTGGTTATCTGACTTGTTAAACTGTTCTGTTTACTTATCATGTGTTACCAGGAAAGTCTCATACTTTCCTTATTGTATGTTACCAATTGTAAAAGATGTATTGTTATCCAATTGTTACTCTTTCTAGTTATATAAGTGTTACCCAGGAATGCCCCATGCTTTCCTGCATATTGGTTTCTAATGTAAACGATGTTAAAAATGTAAAAGATGTAATCATGTTTAGGTTCCTTGTTTTCCCCAGGAAAGTCCCGTACTTTCCTGATTAATAGTTACTGTACGTGAAAGATGTAAAAGATGTAAAAGATGTATAAAGTGGTTCATTATTACTATAAGTAAATTTCTGTTACCCTAATTGCGAGTTCCATAACCATACAATAGACTAAAACCTGTGGCAATAAGTAGTCCACATGTGGCAATAAGTCGTCCACATACTTATGACTTTCATCACCCTTGAACCATTTCGGTTCGGTTGTAGCTAGCAGCCAGGTGTGGGGTAGTCAGCCCCGTATAGATCTATACACTCAAGTCACGCTCTCTAAATACCAGAGATTCCGGTTATGGGTGTAGTCCTCCACTCGCGTATCTCGGTGGAGTGTTCTCTGAGGACGTGTCTCCAATCATATAGGATTAACAAATTTACTAGTAATAATATAACAATCCTCCACTAGCGTATATGTGTGGAGTGTTACCGAGGACAAAACAATGTACAGGTATTATATTCAAATGTATAATGCCATGCTTTTAACTGATAAAATGTGGAAAACCATTTGTGAAATATATGCAAAACATAACCGTTTAAAGACCTATTTCACAAATATATATGTTACGTGATCTGCATGTTCAAATGATTATCAGTTGTGGTGATCAGTATTAAAAGCATATGAAATATGAAACACATATTTGAAAACATGTTTTGAGTACAAGAATTCCCTTGTACTTTGCTTGTGTTCCCCCTGAAAACAGTGAAAACAGTGAAAAAGGGTAGGGGTATGAACTCACCGGACTCGGAAATGCGTCGATTTTGAATACTAGACGTTTGTTTGGGGTTTGATTACTCGCGATGTCCCTATGTAAAATGAAATAATGTACATATATATACAATTAGGGATACATTCACTAATCATATGGAACATTACACTCCAATGAGGTTAAACACCTCAAAACAAGCGTTTGGAGTGATCCGGGTGACATCTTCGGACGTGTAATGGCACTAGGGACTTGGGACTTGAGTTTAATCCCCAAGAGTAAACATTTTAAGGATTTTACAGCCATTGAACACACACATACATGAGTTTACGGCCGTAAACTCATGTGAGTGTGATTTTGGGTGTTTAATGGTTTAAATGGACATAGGGATTGTTGGAATGGATTTCTAAAATGCCTTGGAATGGATTGCATGATATTATAACACTTAAAAGGGAGTTTACGGCCATACCATAAGAGTTTACAGCCGTAAACTCACCTATGGCCACGGAAAAATTGATTTTGAGCTACAAGTGACAATCACATGTGATTCTAGTTAATTTTCCAAGCCTTGTTATGGATTTAAAACATCATTTTACATACTTGTTGGAGTTTACGGCCTAGGGGCATGTTCTAAGGCCGTAAACTCTTCTTTACTCATGAAAAAGATAGTTTTTGATGCTTAAAACAATCACATGTGATTCTAGAAATTTATACAAGCCATTTGAGTGTATTTGATGCATCATTAACATAGTTTTATGAGTTTACGGCCAAGGGTATGCTCCTAGGCCATAAACTCTTATAAGTGACATTTTTGATGTGTTGCAAACCTTTAAACTATTTTTAGATGCATCTAGATTTTACCACAAGGCCATTGGTTGAGTTTCAAGGCATTTGGACATGTTTTAAGGCTCAAAAACCCCTTGAACATGAGTTTACGGCCCAAGAATGTGTCTTGGCCGTAAACTCACTTTTTTCCCTTAAAATCAATGTTTTAATTGTTATAAGTCCCTTCCATTAAGTCATTAAGCCATTACTAATGTCTAACATTGCTTAGGAGGGGTTTTAGGGCTTAAAAACCCTTGTTATATGAGTTTACGGCCCATGAAGGTTCCATGGCCGTAAACTCATGAATATAGTCTTAAATCATGCTTTAAACTCGAATTTGAAGGCTAAGAAGGTTACAATACAAGCTAGGGAAAGTACCTTAGAGATTTGAAGCCTTAAATTTGAGTTTTGATCCCTTAAACTTGGATGAGGAGAGAGGTTGGAAGTGTTTAATGGTAAATTGGCCAAAGGCTTCAAATGGAGTCTTAAACACATTTATATAGTGTTTAAGTTTTGGACACGGTGGAATTCTACCCGATGCCGGCGTTAGACGAGGCTTTTGGTCGTACCCGATTGAGTTGTCGTAACCCGATATGGTAAATTCTAGAATTATTCTGATCACTAAAATTGGGTGTTAAAATGTTTTCTAAATGTATTAAGACACCCATTAAGTCATTTTAAATGTGTACCAGTTAATGACTTAATTAAACGGAAGATCGGAAATCGAATTTGAAAATGACGATTGGTTGTGCGAATTGTACTACGAAAGAGTTACAATAAATGATACGGAAATTTCGGGTAGTTACATTATCCCCCCGTTAAAGGGAATTTAGTCCCGAAATTCAAAGTTTAAAAACACAAGACAAGATACAAATCATGGATCAAGAAAGAGTTGTGGATACTTCTGTTTCATTGAATCTTCCCGTTCCCAAGTGAATTCCGGTCCCCGCTTGGCATTCCAACGAACCTTCACTAACGGGATGCGATTTTGTTTTGTATGTTTGACTTCTCGATCCATGATTTCGATCGGTTCCTCCACGAAGTTAAGGTTTTCATTGATCTCGATCTCGTCTAAGGGAATTGTTAGGGTTTCATCGGATAGGCACTTTTTGAGATTTGAAACATGGAAGACAGGATGAATGTTACTTAGTTGGTGAGGTAAATGAAGTTTATAGGCAACTGGACCGATCCTGGAGAGGATCTCGAAGGGTCCAATGTACCTTGGATTAAGTTTCCCACGCTTACCAAAGCGTACAGTGCCTTTCCAGGGCGAGACTTTTAACAGGACACGGTCTCCAACCTGGAATTCTAGTGGTTTCCGACGATTATCAGCGTAACTCTTTTGACGATCACGTGAGGCTTTCAATCGGTTACGGATTTGAATGATCTTTTCGGTGGTTTCGCGGATGATTTCAGGACCAGTGAGAGCACTGTCGGGGACTCGACTCCTGGCTAACTGTGTATCCCCCACCTCGGCCCAACACAGAGGGGATCTGCACTTACGACCGTATAGGGCTTCAAACGGAGTAGCCCTAATGCTGGTGTGGTAACTGTTGTTGTATGAGAATTCGATTAAGGATAGATGTGTGTCCCATGACTTTCCAAAGTCAATGACACATGCCCTAATCATGTCCTCCAGGGTTTGTATTGTTCTCTCACTCTGTCCATCGGTCTGAAGATGATATGCCGTGCTCATATATAGTTTGGTTCCAAGGGATTTCTGAAGGGATTGCCAGAATCTGGAGGTAAACCTACTATCTCGATCAGAGATAATGGATACAGGTATACCATGTAGACGTACTACCTCCTGGATGTAGATTCGTGTGAGTCTTTCCATCTTGTATGATTATTTAATTGGAACGAAGTGAGCGGATTTTGTCAAACGATCGACAATTACCCAAATGGTATCATACCCACTAGAACACTTGGGTAGTTTGGTGATGAAGTCCATGGTAATCATCTCCCATTTCCACTCGGGGATCTCGGGTTGTTGGAGCAGACCTGAAGGTTTCTGATGTTCGACTTTGACTTTGGCGCAAGTCAAGCACTTGCCCACGAATGTAGCTATCTCAGCTTTCATGTTTGGCCACCAATAATGTTTCTTGAGATCCAGGTACATCTTGTCAGAACCTGGGTGAACATAGTATTTGGTTCTGTGTGCTTCTTCCATGACCATTTCCCTGAATCCTCCGGATTTGGGAATCCAGATTCGATTCATGAAACAGTGAACTCCGTCACCTCTGATCTCAAGTTTCTTTTCCATCCCTCTCAAGGTTTCATCTGACACGTTCTCGGGTTTGAGGGCTGTTAACTGGGCTTCTCGGATTTGCATGGGTAGGTTGGAATGGATGGTCATCGTCTGGTTCTTCACTTTGTGGCCTGCACTAACCTTTCGGCTAAGGGCATCTGCTACCACATTGGCCTTGTCGGGGTGGTAACGGATTTCACACTCATAATCACTGAGTAATTCTACCCATCGCCGTTGCCTCATGTTTAAGTCTTTCTGATTAAAGATGTGTTGTAGGCTCTTGTGATCAGTGAAGATTATGCACTTGGTTCCGTAGAGATAATGTCTCCAAATCTTCAATGAAAAGACTACGACTCCTAGTTCCAAGTCATGTGTGGTATAGTTGACCTCGTGTGCTTTCAGCTGTCTTGAGGCGTAGGCAATCACATTTCCTCTTTGCATAAGCACACAGCCTAAACCTTGGTTAGACGCATCGCAGTAGACAACAAAGTCCTCTGTCCCTTCAGGCAGAGACAGAACAGGCGCGCTGCATAAGGCTCTCTTCAACGTTTGGAATGCAGTTTCTTGTTTATCACTCCAACAAAAGGGTACACCTTTCTGTGTTAGAGTGGTTAAAGGTTTGGCGATTTTGGAAAAGTTATGAATGAATCGTCGATAGTAGCCGGCGAGACCCAAGAATTGACGAATTTCTGTGGGTGTTTTCGGTGCCGACCAACTCTCTATCGCTTTAATCTTGGAAGGATCTACATGAATACCCTCATCGCTTACCACGTGACCGAGGAAAGTTACCTTCCGTATCCAGAATTCACATTTGGAAAATTTTGCGTATAGCTTTTCGGATCTAAGGGTTTCCAACACTAGCCTCAAGTGTTGCTTGTGGTCTTCCTCGCTTCGAGAGTAAACGAGAATGTCGTCAATGAACATGATGATGAATTTGTCTAAGAAGGGACGGCACACCCGGTTCATCAGGTCC